TATATTTTTTTTTTTCATCTGCCTTTTCCAGTAGACTGTAAGCTTCTCAGAGGCAGGCTGTTTTCTCCCCTTTCGTGTTCACAGTTATATCTTCAGTGCTAGGTACAGAATAAGTGTTCAATCAAGATTTTCTGGATGAACAAATGAGTGAATCCTGGTGGTAATGATGATAGCCTAGGTTAGAGTTGTAGCAGTGGAAATGGAAAGGAAAGATAGCATCTGAAGCTCTTCAGAGGAAAGCATAATGGAAGGAATTAGCCAGGAATGAGAGAAAAGCATGTCCTCCAACCAGTTGGATTTAAGGAGCATCAAGAAAGGCAGGGGGAGCTGGCCAGAAGGCTAAGAGAGTGAGGGACTCAAGTGTCAGGTCTTAGAGTTGTCCAGATAGATGTGAGAGTTGGGACTACTGGAGTGGGTGAAACCTGAAAAGATGTAGAGAAAAAGCTGAAGTCTAAGCCCTAAAGAATGATCACAGTCTTCAGTAGAAAGTATAAGGTCAAGAAAGACATAAGCAGTGACACTGAAAGACGAAGATATAGTGTAAGATCATGTTATCAATAGAAAAGACATTTCAAGAAATAGTTGGTGACCAACAAAGTAAGGCATATCAGAGAAGTCCTGGTGGAGGCACACCAGACACTAGAGCTCTTTGAGAAAGAGAGCAGAGAAGCTGGCTTATACTGGGTTAAAACAAGAATAAAGGACGAAAAGGAGTCAGTGGGCATGGGCAGTAAAAGAGCAAAGAAAAACATAATTTCTCTTGAAGGGCCAGGCAGAGATTTTGTCCAGATGATAAAGATCTGAGACAGTTGTGGGCAGGAAGGACTAAACTGATGAGAGAAATTATGATATAGGAGCGGGGACCATCTGGAACGAAGGACACCCCCTAACAGCAGGAAGGAAGGGAGGGAGCAGGAGTAGAGGCTGGAAGCTTGGCTTCTTCCTATGAAGAAGGCCAAAAGATTAGAGGGTGGGTGTAGGAATGCATATAGGACAAGGTCAGGCAGATCCAAAGTGCTGCAGGAGGAGGTGTTCGCCCCTGTGCCTCCATCATGGTCAACATGAACTAGTAGGAACCATCCTTCCCCTGAGAATCAGAGAGGTTGAGGCAAGAGAAATTCTACTGGGCATGGTGGTGCATGCCTAAAATCCCAGCACTCAGAAAGCTGAGGCAGGAGGATGGCGAGTTTAAGGCCATCCTGTTCTACATATGAGTTCAAAACCAGCCTGAACTATGTAGTGAGACCCTGTCTTGAGACTCTATGGGGGAGGAGGGGGGGTACAGAAGTTCTGGAAGTGGGGCACTAAAAAAAATTTATTTTTTTGAGAGAGGGTCTCACTATGTAGTTCAGGCTGGCCTTGAACTCCAGGCCATTCTCCTACTTCAACCTCCTGAGAGTGCTGGGATTATAGGCGTGTGCTACCACACCTGGTTTCTAAAATCTTTTTTTCTGCTGAGCTTGCTGGTGCACGCCTGTAATCTCAGCACCTTCAAGGCTGAGGCAAGGGTATCACTAGGAGTTAGAGGCCAGCCTGGGCTACATATTGAGTTCAAGACCAGCTTGAATTACCTATCAAGACCCTGTCTCAAAAAAAATTTTTTTAAACCTTTTTTCTCCCTTAAACTCCCCCAAAATGTCTGTCTATACTACTGAGTTTTTGACCATTCTTAGTGGTCAGCTGGGCAATCTCTGAGTGCAGTACTTTCTGTGCTGACCTCAAAAGTACAGATGTATGGGGAGCCAAGTCTGCACGATGTTGCCTTTTCCTCATTCACTGATCTATCTACTCATTGCTCCATTCAAAGATTTATTCAGCTTGGTTGGAGACACTTTGGTACTCCTCCTCACACCAACCACCCTCCAGAGCAGGAACTTTTCAGCCAGCCCCTTCGGAGGCTGTTTCTTTGCTGTCTCTCTGGGTTTGTTCTCCTCACTGGGTGGAGCCCTGCCTATGCTCTCTCTGGTTTTGCCTGAACAGCAGAGGCTTCATGCTCCTTGTAGCCTTGCTCTGCTACTAAGAAGGGGTGAGGGTTTCTGTAAAGGGATGGGGAAGTGGTGATGTCTGTCTGCTTCACCGAGATAAAACCACAGCTGACAAATCAGCAAGAGCATCCCTGTGGTTTGAGAAGGGGCTGTGAGCAGGACCGAGGAAGGGCTGGAGAAATTGCTTGACAGAGGTGACTAAGGTGGGGGAAGTTGTCACATAGTATTATTAACGTCCACTGTCCCCACCCCCACCATGGTTCATCTCCTTCAGGCTGAAGCTTCTCAGAACACTGGGGATCTAGTGGCTTTGGGTGAGGAGAGAGCCCATTTTTCCTTCTCTGTCTTCATGCCCAGATGCCCAAATATCATTCCTGTTTCCCAGGAGGGAAAAGACCCTCTCCCTCTGCCCCAGGCGCCAGGCTGCCAGCCCATCTGCTGGGGAGAAAGGAGGGGCAGTCTTTCCCAGGGGATCCTGAAGAATCAGTTGGAAGACCAACGCTCTCAGGGAGACCCATCTAGCAGATTTAGAAGCATTTCGGTTCACACGGGAAACTCTCGGGGTGGAGCTGGGCATACAGTGGGCTGGGGGTGAGGGTCGGGGGCTGGCACAGCCGGGCAGGCGGGATCTTTTGGCCACAATATGTTTGAAGCCGGCTGAGCCGCAGGTCGGTGCCCAACCGCTGCACGATGCCAGGGGCGCCCCCCTCCCCGCGCCCAGTCTCACCGGCTCGGAGGCGCCAGGGCCCCCCCAAGGGCCGGGGCGGGCGGGGGAAGGTAATGTAATTCCGGCTCAGCTAACCTGATTATGGCGGCCTGCACCGGGCAGGGTGGCGGCGGGGGCGGGTCTAAGGCTCAGGGGCCCGCACGGCCAGGGTCCCATTCCTGGGAAGGACGGAGAGTTCACACACTCCCTCCCGGCTCCAGGGTTCGAGGCCAGAGGTCACAAGGTCACCGAACGACTTCAGTCTTTCTTCACTTCCTTTCTCTGGCACGCTCCGGGCGCAATTTCTGGGGCTGGGATGGGGTGAAGTGTCTATGGGAAATGAGGCGGTTGGGGTCCTCCCAAGGCCTCAGCCAGTCCCACGTGTTGCCTGGGGCGATCTCGCCCTCCCACTTTTGAGAGGGGAGAGTGTGTGAAAATAGACATCTTAAGCGAATAATAGAGGGGCAGAATTCCAGGCTGGGGACCACCTGCACTTTGGGTCTGAATTGGCCCAGGTTGAACCACAGGTCCCATTTACAACGATTTCGGAAAATTGAAACTCCAGGAAACGGCACCAAATACTGGCGCGCCCGGACGGGGCTGGGGGACCCTACAGGAGAGGCCAGGAGGTGCCCCAGGATCACGAGCCCGGGGTGGATGTCCCCGCCCTAGCCCACCGAACGCGCCCTTCGAGCCCCTTCCTACACCTGTCCTCTGTCTTGGGCCTTCAGATCGCGGGACGCCGTTCCCCTGCCGCTTCTTACGCAGCCGGGAAGCCACAACGAGATCTGGCCTTACAGGGCACTTAGGTAAGGGCCACAACGAATCCAGGATCTGGCAAGCGGGACCCATCGGGAGGTGAAGAGTGTGGGCTGGGGAAAGAGGCACCTGCTGGCAAGGCGGAGGCAGCCCGAAGGCGGAGGCTGGCGAGGATGCCGGCGCGGTGAGAGTCCCGGCTGACTCAGCGGCCCGCACTCCGGCCCCTCCCGCTCTGAGCCTGGTTCCTAAACGCCCTCGCCCTCCTTGGCCTCCGCCCGGCCATCCCAGAGGGCCGGCGCTCGGCGCAAACAGGCGTCCATTCCCCTTTAACGGCCGGGCCCCGCCCCTGCCCTACCCCCAACCCTCACTACCCACCCGGGGCCGACCTGTCAGTCACTGCCCCAGCCCGAGCTGGCCAACCCTCTCCACCCGGGACTTGGGCAGCGGCCCCATCAGCCTAGCGTCCATCTGCGCTTCGGATCCAGCGAGGGAGCTTTTGGGGCCCCGGCCGGCCGAGCTCCTCCGGGATGCGAGTCCCTACACGGACGCCCGGCAGGGGCGGGCACCCGCGCGGCTGCTTTGGGTGCACCGGGATGCTGCTGTTCCGGGGGCCCCGGCGCCCGGCTGCAGCCAGCCCCGCGGGCCCCTGAGCCCACTGCCTGGAGCTCGCCGCCGCTGGGTTCCCGGAGCTGTCCGAGGCGCCCTTCCCAGCCACCGCACCTCTAGCGGTTCTCCCTGGCTGGGACCCATGGAGCCCGGGGTGCTGGCTCCGCACAACCTTTCGCACCACGAGCCAATCAGCTTCGGCATTGATCAGATTCTGAGCGGCCCCGAACCCCCAGGAGGCGGCCTAGGCCCGGGTCGCACGGGCCAGAGCCAAGGGGACAGTGCAGCGTTCTCGGGTGGATTCCACGGAGCCTCGGGCTATGGACCCTCAGGCTCTCTGGCCCCGCTGCCCAGCAGCTCTGGAGTGGGCCCAGGCGGCGTGATCCGCGTCCCGGCTCACCGCCCGCTGCCCGTGCCGCCGCCCGCGGGAGGCGCCCCTGGGGTCCCTGGGCCCTCAGGGCTGGGCGGCGCCGGAGGCCTAGCGGGACTCACCTTTCCTTGGATGGACAGCGGCCGCCGCTTTGCCAAGGACCGGCTCACGGGTGAGGTGACTCGACGCCTTCAGCGCCCCGCCCTTCCCTGTTTTCTCATCTCTTTCTGCTCCAACCCAAGGAGCCCTTTCATCCCTCCCCAGATTAAACCCTGGGATCCTTCCCCAACCTAGATCTCACTTCCTGCAGACAGAGGCAGTAGGGAGGGAGCTGCCGTCGGTGCCCGAGCCCTCTGCAATCCCAGCGCTCACACTGTGGGGAGGGAAGGGTACAGTTAGGGGGTCGTCTCTGTCTTACTCAAGGGGGAGAGCCGATTATTCTGACGCCCGGTCTTCTCTGGATGCCTCTGCTGATGCGGAGCCGAGCCGGGGCCCAGGTCTCAGTGACACCTCGGACCGTCCTTCAAGCCCTCCCTTGCTTTCTTCCTCCCGGCAGCTGCGCTCTCGCCCTTCTCTGGGACACGCCGCATAGGCCACCCGTACCAAAACCGGACACCCCCGAAGCGGAAGAAGCCGCGCACGTCCTTTTCCCGCTCACAGGTGCTGGAGCTGGAGCGGCGGTTCCTGCGCCAGAAATACCTGGCCTCAGCCGAGAGGGCGGCGCTGGCCAAGGCCTTGCGCATGACAGACGCACAGGTCAAGACCTGGTTCCAGAACCGACGCACCAAGTGGCGGTGAGGCCGGGAGCGGGCGAGGGTGGACCAGGGCCGCCGGGCCGGGACACGTGGTGGAGAGGAGCGGGGTGGTGGGGGCTGCATCGCTGACCCCGCATCTCTGCTCGCCTAGGCGCCAGACCGCAGAGGAGCGCGAGGCCGAGCGGCACCGCGCGGGCAGGCTGCTCCTGCACCTGCAGCAGGACGCGCTACCACGGCCGCTGCGGCCGCCGCTGCCCCCGGACCCGCTCTGCCTGCACAACTCATCGCTCTTCGCGCTGCAGAACCTGCAGCCCTGGGCAGAGGACAACAAAGTGGCTTCCGTGTCGGGGCTGGCCTCGGTGGTGTGAGCTACGCCCGCCGAATCGGTCGAGCACGCCAGGTCCGCGGTGGTGGAGCACACAGCTGTCCGCGCACGTGGACTCGTGGTAGCCGAGTTATGAGGAGCAGCAGGACTTGAGAAATCATCTAGGGCTCCTTGGCCAACAGCGGGCACTCAGGCCAGCGCTGAGCAGACGCCGGGAGCGATCAGACGCGGCCTTTCCCGCCATTTTTCACTGACAGGCTGTTAAACAGCTGCTGGGATTTGAGGCTCCAAAGGGCGGGACCTGCAGGACAGTAGCCAATGAGGTGTGTGGGGTGGGGTGGGGTGGGGGAGCGGCCTGGCCAACCCCAACTGCCCTTTGGAGGGACAGCGGTGAGTGGGCTCAGAGCTGGGGTTCTAGGAGCGCGAGCTGCGAGGCCAGCAGTCCTGGGCAAGAGGTGGCTGCAGCCAGGGCTGTTTTGGTTTATATACGGAAGGTATAAGGAAGATGCCAGTGACAGCAGAGTAAAAGAAGCGCCAGAGCTGAAAATCTGGCCGATTGTGACAGGGATCAGAGGGTTGTCCATGCTGGGCATCTCATCCTGCAACTGTAAAATAATCGCTAAGGGTTCCTTCTTGATTCTGAGTCTCATGTTTTCGTACGTGTCTAATCTGCTGGCACATCCTACTAGAACACACAATACACCTGCACTATAGAGAAGACAGGTGCTGTGCTCGCTTTGGCAGCACATATACTAAAATTGGAAAGATACAGAGAAGACAGGCGTTTCCATGCCAGATGAAAGATCAATCTAAGAAGAAAATTTAGCTCTGGTGTTCCACAGGGACAGAGAAGGGAAAAGAGGAAACAGTGGACACAGTTAATGGTTCCAGTGGAGCAGGGTGAGCAGAATTTGGCAAATATTTAGGAAGTGCTAAGCCCCAGAAGAATAAAAGGTAATTTCAAGATTAGAAATGCAGAGGGTCAGGAAGTCAATGTGCTGTGGATGAAGGGAAAATTGTGACGTTTGTAGTAAGATTAACTTTGTAGGTGAAGCTAAATGTTAGATCTAGAGGGAAAAACATCTGGAGATCAGATGACATCCACAGAGATGCAGATAGACTGATAAGACCAGAGAGAATCCCTAAGAGAAGGACTCTGAGAAGAAAAGCAGAGTTCTAGGTGTAAATTCTTCTATCTGCCAAATTCTATGAACACATTTACAATGGGCAAGATGGTGGAGGATACCAAAGTTAACCTTCCAGGGGCATGAAAAGGAAGGGAGTACCTGCCCAAAAGGCAAGAAAAGTGTGATGCCTCTAAAAATTTTAGAAAGACATCAGCAGCCCAGTGAGGTAGTATACACTTGTAATCTAAGCACTCTGGGAGGATGAGGTAGGAGAATCACAAATTCCAGCCTAGCTTGGGCAACTTAGCAAGATCCTGTTGCAAGAGGAATTTTTTTTTTTTTGGTACTGGGAATTGAACTCTGGACCTTGCACTTCTGAGGCAGGCAGTGGAACTGCTGAGCTAAATCCCTGGCCCAAGAGGAAATATTTTAAAAAGGGGCTGGCAATTGATGTAGCTCAATGTGAAGGCCCCAGGCTCAATTCACAGTACTATTACCACTACACACACACATGAACACATGCTCACACATTAAAATGAAGGAAAGACTTCAACTTGTAGATGGGCCAGAGGCTGCTGGGAAGTTTGCTGATGATGAGTACGGTTAGGAAATGGTTGTGATAGCCTTCATGTTTATAAAGGCATACCATGCCCTGGGTTCAATTCCAGAAATGGGGGGTAGAAAGAATAGGATTTAAATTAGATGAAGAAGAAAGGAAAGAATGAAGAATGGGAATCTGTTTAATTCTTCTACCCCTATTCTTTCTGCCCTAGAGACTGGAACATTGTGACAAAGGGAAAACAGGCAGAGAGCAGAGACCAACTGTAGCCAGACTCCTCATGCTGTGTGCTAGTGACAGCTATGTCAGTCAGAGGGTGAAGGCTTGACCAGAGGTGGGAGCCAGGCAAGAGGCTATAGCTGCAGGAGTTGGTCTTGGATCTTTGATATGGTATCTTCTCTGGCTCATGGATGTTGTATGATACTGCAGAACCAAAATAAAATTTGGCATTATAGGAAAATCTTTTTATGGACCAAAAAGGAGTATAAGGTTAGGTTTCACATAAGTTGATGGAATGGGAAGGATGTCAGTCCCTCACCAATAAATAGGAGAAAGCTAAGGCTACATAGACAGTGGCTTACCCCATTCCCACCACTCTGTGCCCACTGCTTCTTGGGACTTAGGCTCTGGGATGTACATCTGATCCTAAAATTTGGGTTTCTAAATGTGGCTGGCTGCCTTGGTGCCAGACTGAAGGAGAATCGAGTGCTATGAGATGAGCTCAGTTCCATTCCTTGGGTAGGCAGATCACTGCAGGACACAGGCATCTCTGAACTCCTGGGTGGAGGAAGGTTCTTTCTCTGCTGATGAATCTGCCATTCCTCCCCTCAACTGGTTCAGGAGGTCTCTGCTCTCACCGGGGGGCAAATTACTCAGGAAGTATGGGGGGGCCAGCTCCACCAGCCTGGCAGAGAGAGTCATATTTAGGTGATCTGTATCTTCTCCTATGAAGCAGATGAGACCTTCCCACAACCCCTTCTCCCAGTCCTCTGTCCTCAAGACATATGCCACTAAGATCCCTTTTTCTTGCGTCTTTCCAACTTTCCATCGTTAGTTTTGGCCCCTGGAAGAATGAGGATTGAATGAACAGGGTAGAAGTGGTATAGATAACTCACATTTCAGTTTGAATCTCAGAAACAATGGAAAGGCAGTTGTCTTTAGAAATGGAGAAGCTGTGATATAGCACCCATTGTGGGGGTCTGGCTGGAGCCCAGTGGTTTCGGTAGCAGCAGTATAAGGACAGCTGGGCCACATGCTTATGGGTTAAGAGCAGGTAATTTCCAGTCCCATCTGTGTCTCAGGCCACCTCATTAGAAGACAAAGATACTGAAGGAATAAATAAAAGAGGCAGGGAGTAGAAAAAAGAAATGGGGGTTGAGAAAGAATTAGTAAGGATGGTGAGAGTTTTAAAGTAAAGCATTAATTATCTCTAGGTATTGTTTGGTCCCCAACATACCATATGGCATCTTCTACAGTTCCCTGTACCCTAAGGGACTGAAAAGAAAAGTATCTCTTAGTTCTAAAGACTTTTTTGGTGGTACTGGAGATTGAACCTAGGATCTTCACTCTAAGCTACAGCCCCAGCCCTTTTATTTTAAGACAGGGTCTTGTTAAGTAGCCCAGGGTGGGACTTGAACTTTTTTTTTTTGAGACAAGTTCTCCTTATATAGTTCAGGATGGTCTTGAACTCATGGCAATCCTTCTGCCTCAGCCTCCCAAGTGCTAGGATTACAGGCATGTGCCACCATGCCTGGCTGGGTCTCAAACTTGCAATCTTCCTGCCTCACCCTCCCAAGGGCCAGGATTATAAGCATGCACCACCACAGGCAGCTTTTAAAGTCTTCAGAATGGTCACTTGGACACTAATTTCAGAGGTGACATACTAATATTTGTTCCCTCTGCCTTTTGCTCCTTTTCTCACCCTGACCCCCATACTTTGCCCTAACTTGGAGGAAGTATCCTGACACCAGTGCTTTCTGAAGGTCTCTGCGATTCTGTTCAGAGCCAAAACCTGGTTGAGACAAGGGAAGTTCAATTCACTGCATGAGTTCTAGGAGTTCTCCCTGAAGTTTATGGGCTTGGCACAACATTGCCCAATTTAGACCTTGAGCCTGGCACCAAGCTTCGTCTTCTCCATCTAGAAGAGAAGACACAGCTAAAAATAAAGTCCTTCAGACCTCTGAAAGAACATAAACATTGGCCAAAGAGTCTCCTTTTCCTGGGCACAGAGGTCTGCCATTGGTTGCACACCACTACCCCCTTTGAAAGCTCTGGAGTTCTATAAATGGGTGGGCCACTCACTTTGGTATATGTGCTGCTGAAGCAAGCAATGGACCACTCACTTTGGATAAAGGCTTCATAAACCTGGATCAGAGAGCTGTGGTCACCATCAGCATGTTCGAGGGCCCAACACAGGGCAGCTTCTTCTGCACACAGTGGAGGACGTGTAAACCCAGGGGCAGCTGGAGGCAGAAGAGGAAAGTGGTTTTGAGGAATGAGACAGGACAGTAGTATAGGTGGAATACTGAGAAGCTGTGTCACTTGGGGAACTTTATTTAAAAGACATTGATAACTTCTAGGTGTTCTGCACTCTGTTAGACACTGAAAATAAATACAGCCAGCCTTCCATATCTGTGGGTTCTGCATTTGTGGACTCAACCAACTGAAGAGTGAAAATATATGGGAAAAATTCCATCTGGGCTGAACATGTACAGACTTCTTTCTTTCGAGACAGGGTCTTGCTGTGTAGTTCAGGCTGGCCTTGGACTCACTATGTAGCACAGGCTGGACTCAAACTCCCAGCAATCCTCTTGCCTCAACCTCCTAAGTGCTGGGATTATAGGCATACACCACCATGACTGGCCCAGACTTTTTTCTTGTTAGTCCTTAAACAACACAGTATACCATTTAAATAGTATTCACATTGTGATAGGTATTATAAGTAGTCTACAGATGATTTGAGGTATAAGAGGGAGGCATAGGTTATGAGCAAATACTGTACCATTTATTGTAAGAGAAATATGCATCAATGGGTTATGGCATACACATGGAACCAATCTCCCATGGATACTGAGGGACAGATGTAAATGAAAGATAGTCTCTGATTAGAGTCTGGTGGGAAAGTCCAAGTAAGCAGATGTGATAAGCATGCTAGCTGTATGTATATGGTACTCTGGAAACAAAGAGTAGGGCAGTTAATCCAGGCTTCAGTTATGGTGATGAAGGTGATGTGGGAGAAAAGGATGGGGGTCCTTGGGCCAAGTTTTGAAGTTTGAGTAGGAATATCTCAGTGGACAAGTGGCAGGGAGAACATTCAAGGCTCTAGGAATAAGGGATAGAATAGCATGGCACAGTTTGAGAATTGCAAGCCACCTGGTTGGGTAGAGGGAATGATGTGGCAGACTAGCAGGAGATATAGCTGGAGAGCTAGGTAGAGGCCAGATGTGCTGTACAGGGAGTTTTTTTTTTTTTGGTACTGGGGATTGAACTTGGGACCCTGTGTTTTCAGGGCAGGCGGTAGAACCACTGAGCTAAATTCCTGGCCCTACATTCTGTCTTGAAGGTAAAGAATACCTGTTGAGGGCCAGGGATTTAGCTCAGTGGTTCCGGTGCCTGCCTCGCAAGAGCAAGGTCCCGAGTTCAATCCTCAGTACCCACCCCCCCGAAAAGAATACCTGTTGAAGAGAAGTGTTTAAGTAGGAGAGTCCATGAGTTTGGAAATGTTCACATGACTAGTTGGGAGACTACTCACGGGATCCAGCTGAGCCATGATGACGACCTAACAATGGCACTGGCAGTGAATATGCAGAAGAGCAGATGAATTTTATTTAGGAGATAAAAATGAAGAAAATCTAGAGGAAGGTTAGTCTAGAATGATGGTAGTGATTCAATAGAGGTTATAGTATTATCTGAAACTGAAAATCAAGAGGGAGGAAAAGATTTTGTGGTGATGGGGATAAGTCTCTTTTTTTGGTACTGGGGATTGAACCCAGGCCTCTGCACTGAGCTACATCTCCACCTATGTATGTATGTACGTATGTATGTACAGACAGGGTCTTGCTAAGTCTCTAACTGCCTGGGCTGGGCTCATACTTGTGAGCCTCCTGCTTCAGCCTCCCAGACTGTTCAGATCATAGTCATGTGTTACTATATCCAGCTGTGAGGGATAGCTTAATAGAGTGCTTGAGTTTAGTTCTGAGCTGATGTACTGTGGCTCATTCTGTTTAAAAATATCCATCAGGAGTTGGATCTCCCTCTCTTTTCCTACCCCCTCCTTTTTCCTAAGATCTAGAAGAATGGAACTGGTAGAGATACAAGGTATAAAGTTGAGGCATTGTTAAGTACAAAGGCAGTGTGTCAAATATGGGTGGGATGAACTTGCCCAGAAAACTAAAGGAATCAGAAGACATAAGGGGCAAGGATACAACCTTGAGTCCAATGGACAAGTGGAGGATGAGGAGCTCAGGAAGGGATGGAGGAAACAGCCAGAGAGGTAGGATAAAAAATACAAGGAACAGCATCATAGAGGCACAGGGAAGAGGCAGTTTCACCTTCTGTGGTCAGCATTCTGTGTCAAAATGTCATCAATAAAGGCTCAGAAGTGTCCACTGGGTTAGACATTTGGAAGGTCCCTGGTGAGTTAAAAGTTGTTTCAGTGGTACATGGGCCTGAAGCCAGGTGGAGTGGGTGGGATAGAGACTAGATAATATATCTCCGTGATGGCAAACCTTTAGAGCTTTCAGTGATAACAGCTGGCTGTGGCACATGTACCAAAGGTTCACTACCACTGCTATAGCTGAGGGGGCAGGACAAACTTGAGGAGGGGGGTGTATGAGCTTTAGTTATAACAGATGGGAGAGATATAAGCATATCAAGGGGCAAGAAATACAGAGAAAAGACTACAGAGATGAAAGGGATAGCTGACTATGCCTGGTTCTTTAGGCACTGTGAGGGTTGTGAATTAGAGCAGAGAGGAAAGGGCCAGCAGTAGGAGCACTAAAATACAAGGTGCAGGAGCCACTGACTCATAGCAGTGATTTATACCTGAGAGGGGCCAGGGCTGTAGCTCCGTGGCACAGTCCTTACCTAGCAAGATCCCCAGTACTGAGAAAACAAAAACAAGACCCCCAAACACCTAATGTGATGTAATTTCCTACCCCCTTGTGGCTTGAATCTATAAATATACCCGTGAGGATGGCGGCAAGGGTGAGCATTTCATCCACACAGTTAAACTTGCAGGAGGCCAGCAGGGCTTTGGCCAGCTCAGGGGTCAGGGGGAACTCTGATAAGATGATTCCCAGGTCTGACAGGTTCCCATCATCATCCAGGGCTGCCAGATAGTCTAAGTCTTCCAGGGCCTGCATCAGTGCTTCTGGAGCTGGTGAAGACAGGGCTGCAGTTGGGCAGGATGGGTGCTCACCAGGCCAGTCTAGGAAATGGCACTCCCCTGGCTCAGCAATCGGTCTCCTCTTTAGTAGTAACATCAGGGGGCTCAGATTCTCTTCACACACCCTGGGTTGGGGCAGTGGGGGAGCCTCCAGTTCTAGGAGGGTCTTTGGATACAGGCAGAGGTAGGATCCTGAGGGAAGAAGACCTGGAACAGTAGATTTACCAGGGCTTGCACACAGCACCTCTTCTCATGCTTGGTCTCCATGAGGGCAAAAGGCTCTTACCTGGTTGGAACCCTCTTGCCCGTAGTCGTCTTGCTTCTGCCTGACACTTGCTGATTGGTCTCAAGACTTGGGAGTCTGCTTGGATCCAGGGACTGTAAACCTATTGCCCACACCCCAACCAAGGTCCAGATAGATCACAGGCCATTTCTATTTGTAGCCCCACTCCCCCTATCTCTCTCACTCACACTTTGAAGCTCCAGTCCTGAGTCAATGACGTGTCGTATGGAAGGGAGGGAGAAGGAGAAGTCAGCCAGCCAATGAGTGACCACGACCTTCCGGGCACCCATGTCTGTGTCCTCATACACAGCCTGAATGGCTTGACCACAGCCTGGGTGAAGGGGTAGCACCCGTGGTGGAGGCCCTAGGAAAGCCAGGGTCCCCACCTCCCTGGACAAGGATTCACAGCACAGGGAAATTTCCTGAAAAGAGGGGTCAGGCATTAGGGCAGTACTCAGCATTTTTGGGGTTACAGATTTTTTTGAAAAATTGATATAAGGTATGGCCTTTCACTATGAAAAAATATACATTCTCATAAAGTTGAAGATGTTGTCAGAAGTTCACTGAAATATCTGCATTAGAAGGAATCAGGACATGTGTAGCAGAAATCTCTATCCTAAAATCTTTGGTTTTTTTTTTTTTTTTCTTGTGGTACTGGGAATTGAATGCAGGGCCTTTGCATTGAGCTACATCTCAGCCCTTTTATGTTTATTTAACTTGTTTAAAAATTTTTGTTTTTTTAAAATTTTGACAGGGTCTTGCTAAAATGCCCAGTGTAGGCTCAAACTTGTGATCCTCCCTTCTCAGCTGCTCAGATTGCTAGGGTTACAGGCATGCACCATCATCCTTGGCTCTGAAATCCTTGGGTTTTTCTCCAGGACCTCAGCAGAGAATAAGTACTACCATTCCACCATTCATAACATGCATTAGTCCCATTTCCTTGGGGCAGGAAGGTGGTATACACGAGTACTTGGTTTTGCAATCCATTCCTTTTACCTCCTCACTGGACAGGTACACTAGCACATCTCCTGGAGCCTCCTTCCAACATAGCTCAAGCACAGCTTGGCAGGGAGCTTCCACCCAATCACTAGGAGCAGTGTCCCTGTAGATAGGGATGGGACTCCTGCTGAGCTCTCTGGGTACATGCACAATAGGAGGATTGCCCCAGAAGGCTTGGAGCTTAGGTTCAAGGGCTGGGTCAGTAACCACAACCACTCGATGGTCCCCTGGAAGGTATTCCAGCACGGTATCTTGCAACAGCCCTTGGAGTGAATCTGAGGCCACTGATCGCTCCTGAGTCTCATCCAACACCAGCACACCCCAGGCTCCAGTGCCCCAGGTTGAGGCTACCTCCTGCAGAAGCAGCCTGTCCCAGCAGAACCTGTTGATATTAGTAGTAGGCAGGGGAGTCAGTGTGGACACTGACAAGCGCCAGAATTGTAGGGGAACCCCTCTCCAAAGGACATAATTTTGATACTGAAGGTCAGAAAAAGGTGTGACTGACTTCCTGAGCCTGAAGACCCATAACTATGACCCCATAAACCCTTTGAGGACATTTAGTTCACTATCCTAGATGGGAAGTGAGACTATCACAGTGAGGTTGAGGTTGACTGAGGCCCCTGACCAGGACTCAAGGCCTTAATTTAGAAGTTGCATTGTGCAGGATTTAAAGGGTGAGTTGGGCTGGGGGAGATTTTGGTGAGATGCTAGGCTGCACTGCAGAAGACCCGACCTGAGCAGAGTGTTGGGTCCTGTGCAGTCCTCCTGAAGGATGCTATATCCAACCTCATGACCTACAGTCAGGTCCATCTCATCAGCAACCTGCAAAGGCAGGCTCAGGGCTGCCAGAGGGTAGGGTTGAGTGACAGTAACCTGGCCATTCTGGAAACCCCTGGCCAGGGCAAATTCTGCACACCATTGAGGGATCTAGGGTAGGGGGAGGGAGGGAAGGACAACCAGTGAGGGAGACGTAGAACTCTGGCCAAAATGCCAGAGAGCAACAGCCATTTACTCTATTTGGGGAGGCCCCTGGTCCCTTATCAGCACCCTGGGGGCAGCTGGTCCCACTTCCCTTTGCCCACCTCCCCCATATCCCCATACAGTCCACCTCTCACTCAGGGAAAAGGCAATTTCTTAGCCCCTCCCAGAATCTCCCTCCACCTGGGTGCTCTTGCCAGAGCCAGGCTCCCCGGACACCAGGACTACTCCTGTGGGGCTACTCTCCAAATGCCCCAAGAAGATGAAGCGAGTAGCCCAGATGGGCAAGGCTTGGTGCTGCTCAAGCAGCTCATTGTAGCGGGAGGAGAAGGGGAGCCCATCAAAGGGGTTCACAGCCAGTTCAGACTCCCCAGGACTTGGATCAGATTCTTCTGCCAGCCTAAGAGGCTGAGAGGCCATGGTGGCTGTCCTCGAGGACCTACAGAAGGCAGAGCAGCTAATAAAGCCTATTTGGTGACTGACATCATCTCCCCACCTTGGCCCTCTTTTTTTTTTTTTTTTGAGGCAGGGTCTCCCTTTGTAGTTCAGGCTGGCCCTGATCTCACTATATAGCCCAGGCTGGCCTTGAACTCACATTGATCCTTGTGCCTCAGCCACCTGAGTGCTGGGATTACATGCGTGCACCAACACACCTGGCCCTAACTCTTAACAGCTATCTTCAGGTATTAATGCCCTGGGGTCCATCCTTCCCAGCATTTCCTGTTTGCCAGGAAACAGTACTAGGTGTTTCTAAGGGATCATCAAAAGTGCACTTTCACCTGCTATTTGGGTATTAAGTCTTATGACTAACCAGGGGTCCCTGCAGGAATTACGTGAGACATAATAAAATGGGGAAGGTCCCGGGGGTTAAAGGATAAGGAATGGGGTGGTCATAGAAGGGCCACAAGGATCCTGGATTCAAACCTGCTTGCAGCTCTCTGAGACGTCAGGATAGCAGCCATTTCCAGGCCCACCCAGCCAACTGCTGACGGCCTGAAGTACAAAGGTAAATTCTAGCTCCACCCTGGGGCTAAGCTCAAACTCCAATCCAGATGCTTGCTTTTGGGGTGGGGCTACATGCTCCACCTTATTTAACCTAGCCAAGAACCTATAGAAAATAGGCTTCTGAGACTACACTGAGCATGTGTGAACACCAGTCTTGTGCTTATGAAAGGCATCCTGGGACTTGCAGTTTTTTGTAGAAGCTTCACAAGCCTGGGATGAACACCCAAGCTGGGATCTATCTGGTTGTCTGTTTTTAGTTCATTTACATTTCCTTAGCATCACTCATCTCCTGGCATAAGATGATTTCAGACAGTTCTATCTGACCATCCCTCACAAACCTATGGAGACTCTCAGCCCCATACTCTCCGAAAAAAGGAAAAGAAACCTGCTCAGAGGATTGTGAAACCCAGAGAGGCAACCGAGACCTTGAGTGAAAACCCTGTATTTAATGTGAGATTGGGGGAGCCCCATCCCTCCCTTTTTACCACCCACTCATCCAGCCTTTTTTGAGGTGGGTGAGGGCTGCCCCCAGTCTCCGTCCTGCGGCTCTGGGTACCATCCTTTGAGCTCAGTCAGCCTCCTGGGCCTGTCTCTCTCTGAATCTCCTGTGGGATATGGGGAAAGACATCATGTAGGCTTTGTCGTATTGGCTCCATAATACCCTTCTCCAACTTGCCCCTTCCTACTCATTGTTGTCTAACCCCTCACCTTCTTGCATATTCATACAGTGCCTGCTTGCGCTCCTGCAGGCTCTCCTGGCGGGCCCAGGAAGACTTGGCAAATGTTAGGGCTGTGGGCTGAGGGGTCACCAGGCCAGAGCTGGGGAACTGAGGTGATCACAATGTCAGAGGGCTTGCGAAGTCATCATCATTAAACACGAATCGTATGCCTACTTTGCAAGAGAGGCACTGTGCTAGGGTCTCATGATCAAAAAGATAAGTCAGGAATAGGGAGTACATGGACTGTCTCAACCTACCCAAGTATTGGACTTGACTGCTTCTGGGTCTCACCTTTGGGGCAGAGACTGTAGGCCGGGACTGGGTTTCCTCAGTGATGTCTTCAGGCACGAAAGCTACAGCCCCCTCAAGCAGATTAGTAATGGTCAAGTCTACACAGCCAGTCCTCGCTAAGAAGAAAGAAGAGAGGACAGGGGAGTCCATTCCCTTTTCACCTCTTTCTTCATAGCCTACTTTTTCCTCCCTGTGTTGCTTTGTGTGAGACCACCCTTTCTCATACCAAGGTCTCTCTGGATGACGTGCAATGGCACATGGGGCAAAACCTCCTTGACTCTCTGAGCCAGCGTTGTCAGCTGTACATCAGGAGAAGGGCCAGGAGAGGGAGGGAAAGAAGACTGGGCTGAAAAACAAAAATTCAGAAATATAATTAATTGGAGAATTAGGAGAAAGAAGAGGCTGACTAGGAATAAGGAAGAAATTGCCACAGGCTGAAATAAGCTCAAAAAGCTTTTTGTACAGAGACCACACACCTAACTGGGGGTGCAATCTGGGGTGTCTTTGTCGCTTCATGTGTTCTGCTTTGTCTGCTGGAGTAAGCCGTGTTCCTGTCTGGCCCAATTCCTTGGCCACCAGCTAGGAAAATTGGAAGGCTGTGTTAAGATTGCCAGCCTTCCTCCTCTTCTCCCTAAGGAGGAGCACCCCACCTCCACCCTGCTAGTATACTCCACCACCTGTTGTACACGGAGTGCAAATTCCTCATTTCCCTCTCCCAGCTGGCGACGAACAGGATGAAGCCACCTGCAAAAAAAAATGAAGCCACCTGCTGTATTAGGTCATCCCTTCTCCACTTTGGTACCTCTCTTCATGGAACAGTGGTGGTGAGTGTGGGGATATAGTAAACAGTGTTGCCTCTGCGGTGGGACCTTGATATTAAAAATGCTACAAATGGACAAGGCAGAGGCCACTATGACCTTGAGGTGAGCCTCTCCCCAGCCACCAAAAAGTGAGGACAGTTAATACCTTACTTGATACACCGTGAAAGGGACGAAAAGTGACCACAGCAGTTCTGAGACCCAGGAAGCATCTGACACCGTCTGAGGGGAGGGTATGAAGTGAGGCCAGGGCCAGGGCTGGGAAACTTCCCCTCCAAACCCCAGAGATTCCCTGTTCAACACACACTCACCACAGAGACTAGGGGTCTCTGAACTTGCAGGGTAAGAGGTTGTACTACATCCTGGATAGAAAATGGCCAGGAACTAGAAAAGAAAAGAACATAGAATGGAGTCCAGCTAGCCCCATAAGCAGCTCTTATCTAACTAAAAAGGGAAAACTGGTAACACTGCACAGACAGATAAATAGGAAATAGAGATTTGGGAGAAAGAACTAAATGTCAACAGAAAAGAAATAAACGGGATGAAATGGGATAAGGGCCGAAGGTTGGGAAAACCCAAAGGCCTGCAAGTTTGACCAACCTACCCAGCTGGAGCCTGTGCCCACTCACCTGAAGCGCAGGAGCCCCTCCCGGCCATTGGTGGCCTCTTCCTCGGGGAACAGCAGCAGTGGGGTGGGAGGAAGCCTTGTGGAGGCACAGAATCTCTTAAGTGACTCCACCAACTCCACCCGCCTATCCATCTCCATGAAGCCCCGAGACCAACACACAAAGCTGGGAGGACTATTGAGGAGAGGCTGGGAACAGGGAGCAGAGAAAAAAAGATGAAAAGAATGGAAGGAAATGAGAAAAAATGGTAAGTGGTGTAGTGAAACGAGGGTAAGATCAGTATCCCCCAAGGGAGACCCTAACAGGATAGGTGAACCTAGAGCTCGGGCCCAGGGAGCCACCCGGTGGCGCTCTAGGCCTCGTCCCCACTCACGGTGCTACAGGTGGTGAGTAGGTTGACTATGTTGTGGTCAAAAGGTGTCACGTGGTTGGAAATGAGAACCCTGACGCGGGGATCCCGGAGTCCAGAGCCTTCCTGGCGGGCCACGAGCCCCAGCACCGCACACATGGTCCGTACCACGAACCTGAGGGCACAGGTTGTGGTGACTGTGGGGCCTCGGTTCGGCCCAGCCCAGACACTCCCTTAGCGCCCGAGTCGGAACCTGCGGAAGACACTGTCTGGCAGCGCGCAGCTGACCAAGAAGACGTGGATCCCAAGAAAGAGGCGCAGGACTAGGAGGCAGAAGCCGACGGGCGCGTAGAGCAGCAGCGCGAGGAGCAGGAAGCCGTCACCCGGAAGCCTGAGGAGGGAGGTGGTAATCAGGCACGGAAGGCCGAGAGGACGTAGGAGTTCGCCTCTTCCCTCCGGGGCTCTTACCTGTGCGAGTCAAAGAGCCGCTCCGGCCCGGGTGCCGGGAGAGGCTCCATCGCAGCTGTTTTAAGGTAGCCCGGCCGCCGCTGCCGCCATCTTTGCGCCGGGCCGCAGGGGATCTTGGGAAGGCGGAGTCTTTGGGCATCCGCCAAGGTGCTCGACCCGAAGTCCGGAGGCGCCCCGGAAGGGCTAGCAGACCCAGCATGCCCTGCGGCCCCCGGGGCCGCCTGAGAACTCGCGTCCGGTGGGGACCACAATTCCCAGCGTTCATGGGACGGGGCGGAGCTGGATCCTGGGAATCCTGGGTCCCGGCATGCACTTTTGGAGGACTTCAGGTTCCGGCGTGCCCAGCGTCACGCTGTCGGCCTGCTCGGGTCCTGGGCACCGCCTCCGAGTTGGGCGGGCGAGGAGGCTGCCGAGGTGGAGCGGATGGCTGCACTGAGGGCGGGGCGGGGTGTCGGCTGGGTCCTCCGGGGATGGCGGGCTTTGGGGGGCATTCTCTGCGGGAAGGGACCCCTGTTGACCCCTGACCTTCGGGCCTTGCTGACGTCAGGAACTCCTTACCCCCGGGCCCTGGGGACTTATGGGACCTCCAGTCTCCAGTCCCGGTTGTCTCTGGGGGTCCCTGAACCTCGTGCATGTTTGACGTCTTGGGCCCGGGCACGACTGACTTCAGAGACCCCAGATTCCCAGATCCAGGAGGTGTCGGGGACCCCTGGAACCCATCCGCGCTCGTGGCTGGCGGTGGCTCTGGGTTTTGGGGGCGCAGTGCTGTTGCTGTGGGGCTGGCGTTGGAGTCCTCCACCTGTCCTCGCCGCTGTCCTTGCTCCTCCGCCCACCTCTCCCCGGAGCCAGTACAACTTCATTGCAGATGTGGTGGAGAAGACTGCACCTGCCGTGGTGTATATCGAGATCCTGGACCGGTAATGGGATAGACAGGGAGGCGTGGAAACTACAGGCGGAGGGCGAAAGCTTCTTCATATTATCAGTGCTTTCCCAATTCCAGGCACCCTTTTTCGGGTCGTGAAGTCCCTATCTCAAATGGCTCAGGATTCGTGGTGGCTGCTGATGGACTCATCGTTACCAACGCCCATGTTGTGGCTGATCGGCGCCGCGTCCGTGTGAGGCTGCCTAGCGGCGACACATATGAGGCCATGGTTACAGCTGTGGATCCTGTGGCAGATATCGCCACGCTGAGGATTCAGACCAAGGTGAGGTCGCAGTAGGCTAAGTCTGGTTGCAGTAGTTTACTTGCTCACATCTCCAGATGATACGTCTCTTGTACACATTTTTCTTAGGAGCCTCTCCCCACGCTGCCCCTGGGATGCTCAGCTGATGTCCGACAAGGCGAGTTTGTTGTTGCTATGGGAAGTCCCTTTGCGCTGCAGAACACGATCACATCTGGCATTGTCAGCTCTGCTCAGCGTCCAGCCAGAGACCTGGGACTCCCCCAAACCAATGTGGAATACATTCAGACTGATGCAGCTATTGACGTATGTTCTTATATGAGAAAAATGACAAACTAGTTTGGGGGAGCAGAGGTACTGTGTGCTACAGCACCAACTGATGTGTGTTGGATGGGCATTTATACTGAGGTTGGGCTGCAAAAATGTAACCATTCAATTATGGGCTGGTGAAGGAGAGAATCTGGAAAAGTGCTTAGTTCTTGGTTATGCCCCCAGGCTTAGAATCCCCTGATCTCTGCCATGCTTTTTCCTTGTCCTGCAGTTTGGAAACTCTGGAGGTCCCCTAGTTAACCTGGTGAGTGTGATATCTTTTCTTCTAAGAATCCCTGCCCCAGGTCAGTATGGGAAGGGTGGGTTTCCTCTAATTTCAAGAAAGTTTTGTTCAGTGAGTCCCTTGTTTGCTATCTCCCAGTATCCAGCCAGCTCTCTCCAACAATTTCTGATACTCTTGTTCAGATGTCCCATCCCCTGCTATCTGTTTGGGCTAGGGGACAGGGGGCTGTATCCCTACAGGATGGTGAGGTGATTGGAGTGAACACTATGAAGGTCACAGCTGGAATCTCCTTTGCCATCCCCTCTGATCGCCTTAGAGAATTTCTACGTCGTGGGGAAAAGAAAAGTGAGTGTGGTAGAGGGAAAAGGGGTTCTTTTTTTTGGTACCAGGGATCGAACTCAGGACCTTGCCGTTGCGAGGCAGGCAGCGCCACCACTGAGCTAACCCCCCGCCCCCAAGGGGTTCTTTTAAAGTGGTGGATGGGACATGGGGGTGTTCATTGGGAGGAGAGGGAAGGGAAAGAAAGATGTAGCAGGGTGGGGGCTCATTGCCCCTCTTTCATAGATTCCTGGTTTGGAATTAGTGGATCCCAGCGCCGCTACATTGGAGTGATGATGCTAACTCTTACTCCCAGGTATGAGCATTAGTGGTAGTGATGTGCAGAATCAGTGATGAGCAACAGGCTCCTCTGTCAGGCTCTGTTATTGCTTGTCCTGATCTAACATAAGCTGCAAGAGCTGTTCCTTCTCATTATTTTGACTTTCTGAGCATGTTCCATCTTGCACCCCATCACCAAATTGATTCTTGTTCATTCAAAGCTTTCAATTCATTATCCTGGCACTTACCGGCATTTTTCACCTGACTAAATCAATCTTCCAGAGTTGGCTTCTGTTACTTCCCACAGCAATATAGTTTCAGCCAACCTGATATCCCACACGTATGTCTTTATACTCTTCTTGTTTTATATAGTTAATATCAGACCCATCATTCTAGGTGCAGCTTAAGTTCTACTCCCTTCTTAAAGCTTCTCCTAGGATTCTAGAATGATACTAGTACTATTGATTTAACACTATGTGTCATTTGGAATTAAGTTTTCTTTTACATACATATCCTACTTTCTAACTGCTAGAAGGCAGAAAGTGAGTTATCTTTGTACCTTTAGTGCCTAGTATGTGTCCTGGCCACACATTTACCAGTGTGTTGATGAGAGACTTGAGGTAAACCCAAGATTGGGAGAGTGTCTGAGTGTAGCTAATAGGTTGATCTGTGTCCTTTCAGCATCCTGGCTGAACTACAGCTTCGAGAACCAAGCTTTCCTGATGTTCAGCATGGTGTACTCATCCATAAAGTCATCCTGGGCTCCCCTGCACACAGGTGAAAGAGAGACTACTGTGAGGTGGGGCAGGGGAAGTATGCATGAGTCCTTGAACTGGGCTGTGTACTCCCTCGTTTGTTTCTGTTCATCCTCTGTAGGGCTGGTCTACGGCCTGGTGATGTGATCTTGGCCATTGGGGAGCAGCTGGTACAAAATGCCGAAGATGTTTATGAAGCTGTTCGAACCCAATCACAGCTGGCAGTGCGAATCCGGCGGGGACCAGAAACCCTGACTTTATATGTGACCCCTGAGATTACAGAATGACTGGATTAGCAAGAGTATGAGGCTCTTGCTCTGATTTCCTCCTTGCCTTCCTAGCCTAGGTTCTGAGGGCACCTGGGCAGAGGATTCAATGAACCAGTGGGGGGCAGGCCCCTCCAACCACCAGCACCAATCCCTGGGCTCTGAACAATCACAAGAGTACTTTTTATATAAAATAAAATTATACCTAGCAACATCTTATAGTCAAACACGTGGGGAAGGGAGCTGGATCTTTTTCCCCACCAGAACACTAGAGGTAAAGCTGTGTTCCCTTTGAACTTGAGGGAGATAGTGGGAGCTGACCATCCTGACCTCATATTCAAGAAAATGAGCTGCTGCCATGTGGTGTTCTGGGCATTTAGTCAGTTGCTGCTCATTAGTGTGCTCTGCTCCACGCTGGGCCTAGGAACAGAGATTCTCCATGGTGGCACAGATACTAACAACCAGTCTAGGAAAAAATAACTTCTGCTTGTCATTTCCATATCCACAGTCCATGGGTGGATGAATGCGGTGGGCCTGCTACCATCAAGGGTTCCATGGTAAGCTCCTGAGGTAATGGCAGCCTCAGACCCCTGCTACTGGGGGGCAGTGGTGGTTTGAAGAGGAGGGTGGTGACATTTTAGACAACCTGGTTGCTAGTCTGGCCAGGGTAACGCTCGAACCTCCTATTGGCCTCTTCACTGAAGGCATCACCTGTAGGCAGAATGGACAGGCAGTGTGGGTGATAACCTGCACAGAGGCAGGAAGCCAAACCCATTGTGGGGAAGGGTGGGTAGAAGTGAAGAGACAGAGGTCTAGGAGTGGGTGGGAAGACACTTAGGGAAAAGAGAATGAAAGCCTTTCTCTCCCAGCCCCTAATCTCCTGTTGCCCTTCCCATCAAATACCAATGTGGCAGTTGTGCACCCAGATGCGATGTCCATCGTATTTGCAGTTACACTTCATTGCGTTGTTAGTGAAGTCACTTTCTGCTACTTCAAAATTTGGGTTGATGACCACCTGTGAATGAGAGAATGGCCACTTGACCCAGCTGCAACCCTCAAACCCAAAGTGTCTTTAGGACTCCTGCCCACCACCTGGAAGCACCAGACCGCAGGCACCTGGAGAATGTAGTTTCCTGGTTTCACATCTGTGATGTCAATCCACTGACAGTCGATGTCATGCCTGTAGAGATCCCAGCAGCCCACAGTGATGCCTTGCTCTCCAAAGTTTGCACACTCGTACCTCTTGGACACATCTGAAGGGATAGCATGTGTCAGTGAAAGGAAAGGCTGTGCTTTGGAGATGCCAAAGTCCATTCCAGGCCCCAACTCACCCTCCTGACATTCAGTGTCTTCTAGACAGAAACTTGCTTTGTGGCCTTCTGCCACCTTGGTGCCATTGGGGGTCAGAATATCATAATGAGTGAAGATGTCCATACTGTGGTAATGCCTGTGGGGATAAGGTGCAAGGGGATTCCTGTTTCCCTGATCTCAGCAGGCCTGTCCCATCCCCTGTAGCCTTAGCTTTCTTTCTGACCCCTTCTACCCTCTCACCCATGGCACTCATGCCACACCCAGGAGTGGCGCCCAGCCTTGGGTCTGAAGTCTGCTCGTCCCAGATTGTGGATCTGGGAAGAGAATCGGAGCAGACGTCGATGGCCATAAGGCCAGTTGGCCAGGCGGGCGGAGCTGGCCAGGCAGTTCTCCTCTGCAGCACAGTACAGCATGTGTAGGGGCCGGTCCTCAATATAGGCTGTCTCCTGCACCAGCGCAGAGTGCAGCAGTAGATCAGAGGCTGCTGTATAAGAAAGGAAGGAGAGTGACAGATGTCACTGCTGAGGGGCAGGGATGGAAGGGTGTGCTTCCATTCCCTAGATGTGAGACTGCTTTCTATGGGGAAGAAGTGCCCTGCCAGATGACAGCCCCTTCTCTCCCTGCCAAAGATTGGCCTAGAGCCTTCCCTGGCTTGCTATCCCCTGCCCTTCACTCACTCTCAGAACAGATGACTCCAGCGGTGAAGCGGGTCCCTGTCCTCTTGCAGGTGATGTGAGTGCCATGATGGGCACACTGGTCCAGGGATAGCTCCATCCCTGTGCAGCGCACGCCACTCATCACCACCTCGGTTATATTCCCTGAGTCCCAATACCAGGTCTCCTGGAGACATAAGTAGGCACAGCCTCCTGGGCCAAGGCATTCATTTCCGCAGTCCTTTCCCCAAGTCACAGGCTTTTGAAACAATGGCTTTCATTCCTCTCCTTTTTACTTACCTGTAGGCCGTGGTTGGCATAGCCCAGACCAAGTTGCCTACAGGCTACCATGGCCTCCAGCGTTCCCCAGTCATCCCCACAGATGAGGCCCCAGTGGAGGCGCCCAGGTCCCCCTATTTGCACCTCGACTCGCCCCTCATGTCGGCTGCGGCCCCCACTGAGTCGAATCTGTAGTGACACAGAATGGAAGCACTCAGAGAAGCTTTTTGGTGTGGTGAGAGTCTGTAGCAGGAATGTGGCAAAAAGAGTGATTCAGAGGCATGTAAAGGGCTAGCAAGTGGTGGGGGCAGGTGGGAGCTTTGGGACAGTAGGGGGCTGGGACAGTGTACTGGGGACTATCAGGCTATTCACTGGAGGTTAGGGCTGGATAGAATGAGAGATGGAGGCCTGAGCCAATGTGGAAAGTATGACTGACCTTGGTATCCACACCAGTGTAGGGCAGGTTGCATCGGACCCCAGCATCCTGGCTGTGAGAACAGTCCTCAGCAGTGATGTTCTTGGAAGGGCATTTCCAGAGGGAGGACTCCTGGCCAGAACATCGAACTTCACTCAAGTGGATGGCACCCATGCCTAGGCCAGAAGTCATGGCTCAGCAGGGTGTAATTACAGCTTCATGGCCCAAGGGACTCCTTACTTTTCCAGGGATTTACTCTAGAGGAGTGTGAGCCTCCTCCCGCCTGTGCCATCTCTTATCTCCTTGCCCCTCACCCTGCCCCATGCGGGCGCCAGTCAAAGCCTCTCGAGCACTGCCAAAGCCCAGTTCTCGACACACCACACTCGCTGCCTGCAGGTCCCACTTGCGGTCACAGACTGTGCCCCATGTGCCAGCCTTCAGGACTTCCACTCGGCCCTCTCCAGGATGGGCACCGCCCTTCAGACGCACTAGGGCCTATAGAAGAGAGGTGTGCCCAGCAGAGGTTAATACCCAGGAGGGCTAAGCAGACCTGGGAGATAAAGGATTTTGGTGGGAGGAAGTGGGTGTGTCAGGTATGTGGCCCACCCCCGAGGGAGGTTCCTTTCTGTCCTCAAAGGTCAGGGCTGTGCTTAGTAAGGGGGTGGGCAGGCCAGGAGTTCTGTTGGGGTGGGAAAGGTCATAGTGAGTCTCTCACATACCTCCCCCTGAGGCTTTGACTGTTGCTTCTTCTGGCCACTGGACATGGAGTAGAGAGGGCCGGCCACACAGCTCACAACCACAGGGGCCCCCCCAGGACATCTGGTGGTGTCATTGGCACGATAGAACTCCAGGGAACAGAGGGAGAGGTGGGCCTCTGTGCCCACACATGCCACTTCATGCAGACCAAAGGAGTGTTGCTGCCGCTGGGCCAGCAACCTGAGGGCACAGGAGTGAGATGCAATAGGGTAAAACAATGCTTCTGCTTCCCTGCCCCACAATTCACCAGCCCATGCCTCTACCATGTCCCCATCCTCTCATGCCCACTTACCCCTCTTCTTCCCCTTCTTACATTTCCCTTGAAAGAGATAAAGGGATTGTTGTGTATGTAGGCTGAAAGAGCTCAACTCCCCTAGGAGGAGGATGGCCAGTCTTGCCTGATGAAACCGTGTTCCTAGTAGTTTCAGGCTGTTGGCTCTAAAGGAGGCTGAGGCTAAGGCTGTTATGCAAATTGAATGGGAAGCCAGGACTACTCAGCTGGAAGAGATGGTCAGGAAGGACTGCCTGACACAAACAGGAAGCCTGAGCTGCCAATTGAGCAGACCTATTTATTTATTTATTTATTTATTTATTATTATTTTTTATTCAGACATTTTTATTATCCTGAGACTGAAATAACTAAACAAGTCCAGATGCAAAGGACAGAGGAAGTCTTAGTTCTCAGTGGCTTCTCAGATGCTACTGGGGAGTCCAGGTGAGAAACCTTGAGGATAAAGTATGATGGGCAGTTGCAGAAAGAACAGACCAGGTGCTAACCATCAGAAGGTATGGTGCTGGTGTACGCAAGGGATGTATGAATGCAGGACAGACAAAAGCTGGAGGGACTGCGTGGCCCGAAAGGAAAGTGAATGTGAGTAACAAAATGGAAAAGACAACCCAGGACTGGAGCTGAGTTGTTGAAGTGATTTGGTTCATGCTTCTGCAATTTCAACCTAACAATGTCCTACAGCCATTTGGGCAAGAAAATGGGACTGAACTAGAGATGTTAAATCCTGGAGACATTGCAAAGAGAGACTTGACAGAAGGAAGGGACTTGTTCATGGATACCAGGGGAATGAGAGATTGCAGCAAGGTGTGTATAGAAGAGAAACGCTCTCTTGCCAAAACAGCAGGGTGGAGCCCAGAGAGAAAGGAAGCACATGAGACTTGGCATTGGTGGGATCTGGTGGTGAATTATTGTAGTACTGTGCCCTATCACTTGTCAGAGGAAGGGAGGAATATAACAATTTGAAACCAGTGGCTAGGAAGACAGATGGAGAAGGAAAAGTTACTTTTAGTAAACAAAACCTGAAAAGGAGCCTGGAGATTTTACAGAATACTTTTGGAAACTCAGGATAAATGGATCCTGAAGATCAAAGAGATCAGGTACTCACCCAGAATTTTGTTTTGCTGAAAATAAAAGTCAGAGAGAGCATCCCAGGAAAAAAGACATCTATCTATCTATCTTCTAAACTCCTTCCTTTCCTTCCTCTATGACTAATAAAACCAGCAGAGTATGCTGTAAAGTGAGGGTCAGGGAAGGCCAGAGTATGGCCAGGTTGGGCAAAGATGACCCTAAATCAGAAGGACACTGCAAGAACATCCTTAAATTCTGAGTTCCTTTGCAGCCAGCCACCAAAGGGAGAAGCTGGGAAGTGAGGGCCAGGATACCACTGGGTGATCTGGAATTTGCTGAGGAGAAGAGAGGACAATAGAAAGGGATGAATTTTCTGAACCTCAGTCACTGCTGAAGAAGTCATCTAGCAGACTTTTAATATGCAAACTGCCTTTTGGAAACAAGTTAGATAGAAAGGTTGAAAGATTCCCATTCCCTTGAGCTCTGAAAGAGCCCAGGAGGAAAATTATGGAACAGGGAGCCTAATTGTGTAGACTGAGCCAGAGAGGCAGGGACTGTGCTTTTCACTTTATCCCTGGAAAGGCACCAAAGGGGACTGTGACTCTCACTCTGCCTCAGGCAAATGGGTAACACTTATTTTAAAAATGAATCAAATAAAGATAGGATGGGATCACTGGTCCCTTAGGCAAATATAACCTTAGTGTAGTATGGAGTCTGAAGGAGAAAGGTGCCAGATCATCTTACTAGAACTCAAGTGAAGGAAGATAAGCCTGTGGAATAAAACCAAAAATCCGACGAGCATAATTCCCCAGAGACTAACATAGGGTCTGTCATACTTAAAATTTCTATTAAAAATCTGGAAGGTATTTTCTCACAGCTTCTGCTCCTTTGTTAGGCAAACAGGTGTCTTTTTAAGCCCCCTGACCACAGTCCAACTTCCCCAACTTCATGACTCCTCACTCCCTTACCTCTCCACCCAGCCCCAACATCATTTACCTCTTGATTGGCCCCCTGCCCACTCGGGATTTGGGTTTGACTTTAAGCTTGGTGATTGGTCTGCAAAAAGGAGAAAGATGGCGGGGCTAGTGGTTAGGTATATGGCCTAGGAAAGATAGAGGGTTATTTTTCTGTTTCTGGTAAGGATCCTTCATACAAAGTGTGGGAAGGGGAAAGTGAAGGGTGGCAGAATTTCCTGCATACGCTGGCTGCTGCACACCATGGGAGTGTGTATATCGCAGGACTTCAGGTTGTTCTCTGTATTCAGTGAGTGATGGGAAATCTGGTTATGGAAACCCAAGCAGTGGAGAGGAGAGGAGAGGAGGTCAGAGGAAAGGTCAAGGGAGGAGAAAGAATGAAAATGTGGGTAAACTAAGGGAGGAAGGGAGTTGGGGGAGGAGGAGTACAGGTGGTGGAAGCTGCAGTCCATGAATTTGGGGGAAGTATACAGATGGGAGGTTTCTCCTCAGCTGTTCCTACGTTATTTCTTCCCATTTCCTAAGATCAAAGCTTGCCCATCCTCATGCCTACCTCCCTTCCCTCCCCCAGGAATGGCCATTTTCCGAGTCACACGCCTAATTCATTAGCTTGGGTTCTGGGATGGACATGGATAGGCTGCCATCCATCCATCCACCTCCTGGGCCCTCAGGGGCAAGCAGGAGGTCCCGGGGCTCTTGCCCCATTACCTTCCAAGGGATTTGGGGTGTTGGGCCGAGGCTTTGGCCGCTCGCTTCCTCAACTTTCTGTGAGGATAAGATAATAGTAGTCAAAATCAGTGTAGAACCAAGTGGAAAAGACTGGTGCAGCCAAGACCAGGGGCAAGATTTCTTTCCCAGCAGGCAGAAGGGTTTCTGATGGCAGGATAATATATCATCAGGTATTCCTTGAGTCCTATCCACCACACCTGTTTGCCCACATAAACACATGAGCAAGTAGGTGAACAGCAGTGAAGGCCACGGACTCAGGACAGATACATCCAAATACCAGGATCCTCAGAGATTAGACTAAGGCAGATGGAGAATGAGGACTCCTGGATCTGGATGTTTTTGGTAAACTTCAGGAGAGGGATAAAGGAAAGGGTGTTATAATTATTAGAATTGCCAGTCTGACCAGGCTAAGACAGAGAACTAGCTTGGATCAGACCTAGGGAGGCTGTATTTTCCTTTTTTTCTTGGATGCTGTTTCCAAGAAAGACCTCTCACTCACATTGTCCAGGCCTGAGATCGCTGGACCAGGACCAAGGACCAAGGGTGGATATCTGAAAATATTTAACTTGGTTTGAATGGGGAGTACCCTTCCTGCTTAAATTTCAATCCCAGATGCTTTGGTCAGTCACAAACTGAGCTCATTTCCCAAATTTACATCTAGGGAGATAAACCTTCTTTCTTTCTTTTTTTTTTTTTGGTACTGATTGAACTTGAGACCTTGTGCATGCGAGGCAGGCGGCAGAACCACTGAGCTAAATCCCCAGCCCAAACCTTGTTTCTTTTGATTGGCTTAAATAATTGACTTCTTTAATTCTTTGAGAGGCTTCTTTAAGTCTAATAACAGAAACAGAAACCAGATCTGTTTTTCTTTTCATTTTTCTTTTAATTTTTAAAACTGTAATTTTGCCCCTTCTTTGTCCTGTCCATCTATTTATGATGAAGATAATACTTCTATGTCTTGTAAGTTTATGGAGTTCTCTGTTATCATTTAATTTATCCTTTTCTGACCATGTTCCTCCTTGGTTGTTTCTCTTGAGGAGTCATATTTCAACATAGTATACTTTGTAAAAATTGCACTAGGATTTTAGTGTGTGCTTTTTATTTTATTTTATTTATTTTATTTTTTGGTACCAGGGATTGAACTCGGGTCCTTGCGCTTGCAAGGCAGGCAGCGGAACCACTAAGCTAAATCCCTGGCCCTAGTATGTGCTTTTTAAATGGGTTAGTTTTTCCTGCCCCAGTGTCTTCCTGAGAATGTATTTAATTGGTCTTTTTGTCAAAACATCCAGAATGTCCACCATTTCTATCAAAGAGTCTACAGCTCTCAGGTCCCTTTCTGTAGACATTACTAAGAATTTAGAACATTTCATTTTACTAATATGATGTGAAAATTTTTTTCTCCAAATGACTTTTTCTCAAAAATGTCTAAAGGGAAATACATGTGGCAGTTTCTTTGACCAACAAACCCAGAAAGATCACTGGAGTAGTACTCAGAAAAATTTAATATTATCTGGAAACTTGGAAGTACCTCATGGGCTGGGGATATAGCTCAGTGGTAGAACACTTGCCTAGAACGTGAGGTTATAGGTTTGATCAACCAGCACTATGACACCAACATCATCTCTTCCTTAAATTAAGGACCTATAAGGGGTGTGGGTGTGTGTGCGTGTGTGTGTGTGTGTGTGTGTATAGTTTGGAATTTTTCATTTTATAAATATTAGATGTGTGTGTATCTAGATGTTCTCCCTCAAGCCTCATGTGGTCATAGGTGGGGCTTTTCAGAGTTGGCTGGATCTAGGGTGTGTGATGCTGGAATTAGGTGTGTGATTAGATTGATTTGGCATAGTTCTGAGTGTGGATAATGGGAAGGCCTACCCTGGGTGTGGATGGCACCACTCAAAGGGTGGGTAGCCTGGAAGGGATAAAAGAGAGAGGCAGGCTGATGTTGTGGTTCTTTGCTACTTTGCTGCCTTCTGCTTGCCATGAGCTATTTCTCTTCTGTGATGCCCCTCTGCCATGCCACCCTGCCTTGGAGCCAGCCAACTATGAACTGAAACCTCTACAAACTGAGCTACAATAAACCTTTCCTTCTTTAACTTTGGGTGTTGGGTATTTTGTCT